AGATTACGTTCTATATTGAGTCTAATATTACGTTCTTGGTTTGGCAAAATAATATACCCGACCCATACTTTTTTATACTGTTTCCGAAAGTATAACTAAATCAAAACAGAAACTAACCATATACGATCATTGACAAATATGTTATATTCGAGGTATACAAGTCGGTTTTGGTTTACAAAAAACATGATTCTCACCATCTCCAAAATATAATCACTGTCGTGAAATCTCAGCCGGAGAGAGATGAATATCCCTCTGGATCTAATGGTGGAGATACTCAAGAAACTCCCGGCCAAGTCTCTCGTGAGGTTCCAATGCGTCTCGGACCAATGGTCGACCATTATCGGATCGAGTAGACACTTCATAGACTCGATCGTGAGTCGTTCTTTGGCTCAGCCTCCTCGTGATAATCTCCACTTCATCTTCCACCATTGGTGCATTGATCAATCTTTCTTCATCTTCTCATCTACTTACTCTCACAAATATCACGCAGTATCAATCCCTAAACAATGCCAAAACGACGATATGTACGAGTATCAATATGTTCGCGGCTTGTTTGTCGTTCGTCGTTAGACTCTCGTTTGTTCCGACATACAACCCTACCACGAGGCAGTCACTTTCGTTACCGGAGATCGAATTTACATGCAATAACTTTTTCTTTGGGTACGACCCTTGCATGAGTCAATACAAAGTAATGTGCGTGATTGATAGGTTAAAAGATCGGAGCATCTTTGTCAAATTTTTACATTGGGAGATCCAAAGAAGCAATGGAGAAACATCCGAGGTGTTTTAAATCAGTCTCCAACCATTAGAGGGGTATACATTAATGGGACTATCTATTACATAGCAAAAAAACTTATAAGGTCCCACGGTCGTCTAACATACAGTATAGTGGTGAAGCTATGTTTATGAGTTTCGACTTTGTGTCCGAGAGATTTGATCATATTAATGCTCCTAAAGTAGTGACAAATAACTTAATTAGGAATTGGACTCTGGTATACTACAAAGGGAAGTTAGGATGCTTATGTTGCAACAACGGTGCAGAGATGTGGGTTAGGGAGAATGCTGAGAAACAAGAATGGTCGAATACTGTCTTTTGCTTGCCTTATAATCTGTTCAAGGGTTTAAGGTGTCACCGTTTTTCGGGCGCCACTTTAGGCGGTGAGATCTTTATACTACAGCTTACATATGATCCTGATGAACCTTTGTATGTCTACTTTTATAATCCGAAGCAAAACAGTTTTAGAAGGACTGAAATTCAAGGTACTACGCCTAATACCGATATTATGCTTATAGAAGGTGTGCCTGATCATGTTGAGAATACAATGTCTTTGTAACTGTAAGATTCGTTGCGTCAAGAACTCAACCATTACAGGGACTTGGAAACTAGAATGAAGACACATCTCTGGAGTGGAATTGTTTGTTGAGTGGAAACGATTCTCCAGTTCAAGATCATCTCTAGTGTCATGTGTTAAGAATAATTCTTTTGGTGAATGTTATGGGTTTATTGATATTTTATGTGCTTTCTTCTATAAATAGCTTTTTTAGCAACATCCATAAGAAGTGTAACAAAACAGAGTTTGAAACAATAACAAATCAGAAGTCTATATACCCTTAAACATATCGATGATGAAAACAACAACAATAAGGACATAAACGAAGAGAAACAAAGCTTTCTTGCAAAAGAAGGTAAAGACTGAGTAGGAAGCAAA